AATCTAGAATTCTATACTTAAGAAAGAGAGAGAGATGGGCTAGAAGGGAAAAGGAAAAAGGAGAAAGAGGAGAGAAAAACTTAGGTCAAAAAGAGGAAAACTTTAACCACCCAAAACACCACTCTCAATCACTTTAACTAGTTTAGAGACACCTTAAATTAACCTTCAAACCCTCTTAAAGGATTAAGAAAGAAGAAGGAGAGAATTCTCCACTTTGGTTGAATTTTCTCGGAAAGAAGGAATCAAAGAGAAAAAGAAGAAGAAAGGCCAAATTCGAGTGAGGTAAGTATAATTCCTCACCTACACAATAAGAATTTATGTATGAAGGTGTAATTGATCGTTAATTTGTAACTTACTTGATGAAGGGTTAGTAGATAGATATTTGAGAATTGTGTGATGTGGATTGAATTTGATTTGTTCAATATGTCTTACATGTTTATGACGTGAGAAAAGTGATGTTGAATGGTTTGAATGATGTGAATGCTTATGTATACATGATGTCCTTGTTCCAAGAATAAGGTGGATGAACAATCCCTAAGTAGGCATAGATTGGTAGTTATCTTGTTTAATGTCTACCAAATGTTTGATAAAATATCTTAGAGATATTCCTAAGGCTAGATTAAAAGAATGAGAGGTTTTCCTTCACTTAGCCCAAATTCGACTAAGTATGAAAAACAAGGACAAAGAGAAAATTATCAAATGTGAGGTTTAGAGGATTAAGAGGAATGAGAATGATTATGTTTATATGAAAAATTGATTGATTATGATACTTATTTGCTTGGCCTTGAGATGATATTCACTATTTTTGTGGAATGTGCATGGTATATTTTATGCTGCGTGCATACTTATGTTATTGGAACATATAATTGATGTATGATGTTGTGTATGTTCTTGAGGATTTTCAAAAAGTATGCATATTGAGGAATTATTCATGACATTACATTATGTTGAAATGCGTATGCACATCATTATCATGAAATAGGATTTTATATTCATGATTTTGATAAAAGAAAAAAGAAAAAAGTTTTCATCATGATGTCATTTCTTCGTTGAGAGATTTGATAAAAACCTTGATAGTTGAAGGATTTAGTGAAGGCTCCAATTAAAGAAATTGACCCACTTCTTCATCAAGGGATTCGGTAAAGACCTTGATATTTAAAGGATTTGGTAAAGGCTCCAATTGAAGAATGTGGTAAAGGCATATCTTCATTGAGGGATTCGGTAAAGGCCTTAATGGTTGGGGGATTTGGTGAAAGCTTCAACCGAAAAAATGATAAAGGAAAGGGTCCACCCAAAAAGAAAAAGAAAAATGGTTTTTAAAAGCATGAAAAGGATTTTATGAAAGTTACACTATGTGCATTCATGCATAAAGGACATCACATGCATTGCTTGAGTTATACTTACCGAGCATTCTCTTGCTCCCCATTTGTTTTCTTACGATATAGGAAATGATAAAGATAACTCGGAGGGTTATTGCCAAGACAAGCGATGGACTTACCCATTTTATGTGCTTCGGCTTTGGGTTAGTGAGTATAGGAATCATGTATGACTTAGCTTAATTTTTAGTGTATAGCAAGATAGGCATTTTGAGATGTATATAGATCAATTAAACAAATGTTGTTTTAGTATAAATGGAAAGGTTAGTTTGAATGTTAAGTTGGTTGTGTTAACCTTGTTAGCTATAAAACTTAGATACTCAAAATGGCTAGGATGATACAATGGATAGAAGGATGGAAATGATTGTAATGACTAAATTATTAGAGGAGGTTTAAATTAAATTAGTAAGGGTTAATTGAACCTAAGTCAAGGAGAAAAACTTTTATACTCAAATTATATATAATGGACCTAGTATCCCATACTCAATAGGGACCTTATGTATGGATAAATGTACACTTTCGCTAATACACTAGAAATGACAAACGAGGAGGCTTCTTGGCTTACGTTCATTGCACTTTGAATGTAAGTCAATGTCGATGATATCCTCAACCTATCTAGGTCTTAGGTCGGAGGTGTTACGGTTAAAACATTGATTGTTAACTTTAATACTTAAATAATATCATTTAATCTTTCAAGTTAACGATAAATACTTTGATCGTTAAAGATAGCGAAGGAAGAATAACATTTCAAATCCAATTCATATCTCATTTCCCCCTTTTTTTCTTGGCTACAAACACTTGATTTGATGGCTTGCAACCTCTCTCTTTTTTCTCTATATCTAGTTTAATTAATTCAGCTTGATTAAATATCAGTATCGGGATAAAATGTTGTCCGTATTAACTATTATTATATGTATATGTTTTTTAAATTACTTTTCTTTTGTGATGAAAGAAGAAGAAATGTTTTTAAAAAAATGTTGTTTAAGCATTGAAGTTAATAGTCAACATTTTGACCTTAAAAAATAATAGAGAAAAAAAATATTTGCACATAAAATAATAGTCTAGTGTCTAAATAATCTAAATTGATGTTAAATACCTTAAATTGTTATAACTTCAATGATTAGAGGGTAATTTTTGTTATTAAACCAAATGCAAATTATATATTAGTAATGGAGATATGTTATAATGTTAATATTGTATTAAGAGTATAATAGTCAATCAAAAGTTTTTAAGGAATTTTTGCTTTTATATATAATTATGACTTCAAAGAAGAAATTTAATTTCCATTGATGTACAAATTAATACTAAATATTAATTACCATAAAAAAAAGAGAAAGAAAAATCAACATATTCTAACAAAAGCACTCGATTCATGATTTTGAAACCTAAAACATGTGGAGAAAGAAGAACTATTTAGATGTTAAAATAATAAAAAACACAGACAACAAAATAAAAAATAAAAGTATAAATCCTTAAAAAAAAACTAATGCACATCTCATGTGCATTTTCGAGAGAATATTATACAAGAAATCTAGCAAGAAGCACTTAATTAGAATTTTCTTTTTTTTGAAAATTCACATATTTATATAGAAAAAATGAAAATATAAATAAAAAAACTACAATTTAAGTGTTTAGCCTTTAATTCTATTTATTTAAATGTCCAATCTGAAAAATATTGATATATTTGAAAGAAATTGTCACCTGTCAATTTTTAATAGACACTTGGTAAAAGGTAGGTTCCACTTGAATTATTTATAAAATATTTTTTTTAAAATTAAAAAAATTAAAGAAAATATAATTTGAGTACCTAATATTTGATTATCATTATTATTTTATTTGAGAGTCCAACTTTTTATTCTATCTATTTGAGTGTCCTATGTTTAATTTTTTTTTCCTATTTGAGTTCATCCGAATATTCAAGACTAGAAAATACTAATGTGATCAAAATATACTGAAATGTAATAAAAAAGGATTCCACTTAGATTCATTGAGGAAAAAAATTATAAAACTATCGTAAAAGAAAATAGGTGGCAAGACTTAAAAAAAATTAAAATTAATTATTATTAGTCGAATGAACTCGACAAGTTTACCCACTATTTTTTTTTTTATAAAAAAAACTTACTAGGTATGATTATCTAAACATTTTGTTTACCTTGGATCATCTAAATAATTCGGGTTCATTTGGTTAACAATAATTTATTTTGATTTTTTTCTTTGTAATTGTTGACACTTATTTTTTTATGATTTTGTTCTCAATAAATTTGAGTGAGGCTAATTTTTTTTCATGTGTTAGTTAAAGAATGTGGTATGTTAGTAGATCATGGTATGTCAATATTTTTTTGATCTTATGTGATAAAGGAAACTCTAATAGAAAAAAAAATCAAACATTAGGCACTCAAAATGTATTTTTTTCCTAAAAAATCAAAAATTTTCTTCAATAATCCAAGTGAAATTTACCTTTTGCTATGTGTTAGTTAAAAATTGTAACGTGATAATTTATTCCGAGCAAATCGGTATTTTTCAATTATAAGGGATTGAAAGAATTCAAACAAAAAAAATCAAAACTTAAATAAAGAGTATTAAACAGTTAAATAAAATAAAATTAAAATTAAACACTAAAATTATAATTTTTTTCAATTATAAATACTCAGATAAAAAAAATAAAACGTTTACAAACTAAGTATACAATTATCTCTTTGAAAACGCATTGGACCCTTGTCCTGTGACCTGTGTTCCCTAGAGAGACTTGCTGCAACCCGTTGTTGCTACCAGCTTGCCTTTCAAACAATTTTTTTTCCTTTGGAATTGATGAAAGAATTAAAAAACAAAAAAGTTGATTTCAGTTTTTTTTTATGCGCACCGCCCTGCCCTCCACCATTATTTCACGAGACAAATTGATATATGGCAGCTACCAGTTGGTTCCACGTTAAGGTGCTTTATTCATGCTACGAATTTAGTAGTGTATTTTACCATAATGCTGTCTGCAGAATAGATTTTATAGCTGCACAGGTGTTCATAAATCGGTGGTGAAGGTCACCGACATATGCAAACACCTTTCATTTTGCAGGGGCGTACTGCCACATACAGCTTTTAGCGCATCTTAGCAAAATCCAGTACAAGAACACACCCCCAAGTAAAGACTCGACAATAACTCCAAAATCTGAAAAGGTTGGTTGGATCCTTAAGCGGCGGGTTTTTTTAAATTTAAATCATTAAGATTCAAATTTCAAGTTCAACGTGAGGAGAAATTTTTTTTTGAATTTTCTACCGATTTTTGACCGACGAAGGAAGATAGATTTAATTCCCATATATTACAGGAAAAAAAAAGGCCATCATGAATAACTCAATAAGTAGTCAAATAATTCGGCTTCAAGATAATTATTCAAAATTTTACCCCTCAATCACATGGAACGAAGTTCCATTTACCTCCATCCATCTGTCCCCCATGGCTCAAACCCCGTTTCCCTCGTAAGCAAGATAATTTTGCACGCCACTTAGATTTCAAACAACAGTAAAATAAAATAAAATTCTGTCACAGCTCCACGTCTGCTATATCTTTTCAGCAGTACATCATTTAAAAATCCCATAAGTACCATAAATAAGAAATAGACAGAAAGGCGCATTTTAGCAAAACCAACCACCACTCTGGCTCACATTAGCAGCAGATGGTATCTCAAAATGCCATAGCCTCCCCACAGCCTTAACCAAATACTTCCTGCACAAAAACTCCTCCGCGAACGTTTTCTCCACCCTCCGATCCACATCATGCAAAAACACATGAGTCACTCCTGGTCCTTTCCTTCCCCTAGCCATCACCACCGCTGAGAATATCGCCGCCATCCTCCCTGGCGCCTCCGGGAAGTACCCTCTTGGCGCATCGATCATTATCAAATCCCATTCCTTGTCATAAACTTCGTCAGGCAATCCAGTCAATGCTAACTTGCATTTGTAATTGCCCCGTAAATAGGCTTTACTTGGCGAACACAATGGCTCAGACCGGTACGTTTTCAGGAGGCCTTCGGCTTCCTGTAGCTGGGTCCGGTACTGAACCGTATGCGCATTTAACGTTGGGTGTTTTTTGAGAATTGTCTGAACCCATTTGGGATCCTCTTCGAGGAATAGAGTGTTGCCATGTGGATTTAATGATGTCCACATGAGAGAATCAAACCCGAGTCCGAATACAAGGAAGTTACAAGGTGACCGTGTTTTGAGGACATCATAAGTGACTGAGACTTCGGCCAATGATTGCTGTGGGACAATTTTTGACGTCGCATAGTGGAGGATGGCTTGGAGTTGGATTGGTGTAGCGGCGTAATCCGCGGCGGTACAGTGTTTGGTCGAGGCTAAGGAGCAGAGGCCGAAGGAGGAGATGTTGTCAACCGATCGGATTAAGCTTGAAAAAACAAGTGCACCGATTATCAGACCGGATAAAGCCACCACGAAGAGACAGGATTTTTCCGGAGTGAATTGGAGTCTCTTCATTTGTTCTACTTGATAATTTTTTCTGTTCAGTGCTTGAGAAAAAGAAAAGAAACGAAGAGAGAATCTTGTTTGGTCTCGGTCGAGTTTTGGATTTGTGTTTGTTTCGATGCTGTTGTTATATGTGGTGAGGTGGGAAAGGAGTGGATGAGAGACTTGTCCAAGGAGCGAAGGTTTCATTTTCGGACATAAATACCCATAGGAATAAATGTTAGGACTTGGGAGTTGTGCACTCTTTGGATATTTTGTTCAATTGTATCCAACAAATTTCTGATTGCTTTGATTTTTTCAATTTGCATAGGTGATTATTGAATTTGATAAGGATGCAGTTGCTCACTGAGTCAATAACATTAAGATTTTCCATATAGATTACTTGACTTGGTAAGCCTATTAAAGGTAAAAATTTCTGGTGTAGATTAAATTACCATATAAATGCTATCTTGGAATTTAACAAGATTTGTATTAAACCCCGCAATTATCAGTTGCCCTTTCATGAAAACCCACCGACGCACAAAGTCTGCTTGAATTTAAACCCCTTGTGCAAAATTTTATCCGAAGTTTATAGTTTCAACGCACAATTCTTTTTTTTTAAAAAAAAAGACAGAGAGAGAGAGAAAACTGAGTCCACTAAAATTGAGGTACACGAACAAAACGTCTTATCGCGTTCAATATCGAAACATTTGATTTATTTAAAAAAATAAAAATATCATGTCAGATGAAAAGGAATATATATCAGTTTTAACGTGTTAGGTTAAATTCTGTACAAATTCAATTTTAATAAACGTTGTATCAAAATCATTTGAGAGCTCAGTTTTATTAACACTGAAGATGATGCTTGACCAAAAATATTTCTTACCTTAGAAAAAAAGGTATTGTATCCATTGGTGGACGCTGCCATATTAATGGAGTTTTTTCAAATTTGTTAGGCAATCATAGAAATGAAACCAAAAAACTGTTGCAGTGCATGCTGTTTTTTGTACAAGGAAACCCGAAAAAAAATGAAACCCCAACCACTAAAAAAAACTGTGATTGGGCATCATAAAGACCCGACCCCTAACGCGTTTCTGCTTCAATAAAATGTTCATGAGTAGCTTGTCTTGTGCCATTAACACTTTTATCTATTTATTTATTTATTTTTATAAAAACAATGCCTATCCATATATATATATATATATATACATGGTACTTTGGGCTGTTCTATCCGTGTACGAAGATCTTATAATTTTATTATATGATAACTTTCATGTGGATATACGCATCTGAAAAAACGATAAATTGTGTTCTTTATTCTTTGAGGAATTGATAACTCCTGTCGTTTTGAAGAGCTTGGGTTTGGTGGAAACATGAGGAATGTGTTAGATGTCTGATATGAAGTCTTACGATATGTTGATGATATTGCCGTGTTTGAAGAACTAGTCACTTGGCGACTGGAAATTGGGATCCTTTGGCAGTGAAGTCAATGCCAAACTTCCTGTCCCCTCAAAAAATCACAGCGTGTAAAAGAATAAAAAGTAAAGGATTTGAAATGAAAAGATTTGAGTTAATGATTGCACAGGCTCTTTACTTTTTCTTTTACCCTTTTTCGTCTTTTCCTATTTTTTATATTTTAAATTCATCTTTTGACCTTTCGTTTTTATTTTAATCTCCACTATTTGTTAATTTTTAGATTAATGGTGTTAACTTATTTTTTATCTTAATTTTATCCTTTTATTTTATTTTTTTATTTTAATTTTTTTATATTATAAATATTTTATTTTATACTAGAAAATTACTTACTGTCATAAAAATAAATTTAAGTGCATAAATGATATTTTAGATAAAAATATTTTTATTTTTATTTAAAAAAATTAATTCTTTTTAAAGAGTACTAGAGGATCTATCTTTAATTTTTATTTATTTATTTAAATTTGGTATAAAAAAAAGGTGAAAATAGAATTGAGAGATGGGATTAAGTCAGAAAAATAAAAAAATTAATACATTAGCTCAAAAGTTAACGAAAATATGAGGTTAACACATAAATTTTTTTAAAAAAGATAAACTTAAAAAAATGTAAAGAGACAGAATAAAAAAAATAATAATAGAGAGGCTTTTGCAACCATTTGTACAAAAAGCATTTGATGACGTGCATTATTAAAATGCCTTTTACGGTATAACATGTCAAAAACCTAAAATATTTTATTTTGTAGTTTTTAACCTTTTACTTTTAAATGGATTTCAAAACAATTTTTAGAAATTTACCAACATATTTTTCACTTATTCTTGAAAAACAAAACCCAAAAACCCTTGTTTGCCAAATGAAAATAAAAGGTTGTCGTGATTTTTATTTTTATTTTTATCAACAAAGCTTGCACTGATTGAGCAACAATAGTTATAACAAGGTTCATGAAGGTGTTATACCAAAATCTGGAAGAATGATAAATTTTCTATTTTTTGTTGGCTTTCCTTGATTTTTTTGTATTTGATTTTGGGAGTTGGAAACTAAACACATGTCTGTGTCAATCTAAAATGCTATTTGAGCAGTTTTGTAAAGAATAAAACTTTAAATCACGAAAAAATTTGTAACCAACCAGACACGAAAAGCCGTTGATAATAAACTATCCAAAAGTTTATGAAAATTAATCCTTCTGTCCATTCCTCGACTTTTCTTTGACTTCTCTTCGGGGTATGCACTTACACGTTTGTGTCCTCTACAGCTCTACAGGGACAACAAAGGAAGTATATTATCATACAACAATATCGACGTGTCAACTAGGTCAGTATGTGTGAGCTGTTGGCAGACTCGATCAACTTGACGGCTCTCTCTTCCGTGTGGACTTAATTAGAGTTTTAGTTGGCTCTCTGGTTCTACGACTTTGAAGATTTATGGGTTTAGGAGAATTCGTCTAAAAATTTGTGGAACTTAATAGTTGTTTAATTAGTAGTCTAATTAATCAAGTGCCAAACATTATTGAAATTGCGCTTATGAAAGTCATGTTAGATTGGAATATTCATCAATGCCGATTCAAGTAGCTATCAGGAGGACTGGCGTGATGAGTGGTATGAAAGGAAGAAAAATTGTAGCACCGAACTTGAGCTAATAAGAAGATGCTTCTGATGAAAATAATTGATAATGGCAAGGAGCACTAGGACTTGGACTCTTATCCCAAAAAGATGGCTATGGTTTACGACCAACCATATTGTCAGCAAAATGGCAAAACTCTTGACCAACTACGAACACCGGCAGCAATTGGTACCATTTTCCTGAATCAATCATTAGCAATTTAGCAGTGTGACCTTTTTTCCTCACAGTTTCTCTAGCCCTAAGATTAGGTGCAATAAAATGGGTCCATTCGGGTCTTGTAGAATCATGAAGCAGTGTAACATGGGCATGTTTTACCACCGTGGCCTCAAGCTGGAAAACAACGTCCAAAATAGAATGGGCAAAGCTGGGCCTGCGTATAATAGATTGACCAAGGGTTAAAAATTCTAACACGACTGAAATAAAGATCACGAGGCCCACTAAATTGAGTTTTCGATGTAACCTTGAACATATTCTTGGACAGTTCTCTAGTAGTGACGCAAAACTAACCACAAAGCCTTGTTCTCAGACTAATTGGGCTCTGTTATACAGATTCTTCTACACCATTTAGCTGATAGTAAATCTAATCCACCTCTATACTGTGTAGATTTTAAATGTTTTGATCTCATATTCCAAAAAGTTTAAAAATATTCTATAAATAACTAACAATATTTATTTAAAAAATAGAAAAATAAAAGAGAACATCACATTCTAATTCATAAAAAATAATAAAAGTTATTCTATTTAGATTTATTTTTTTAATCTTCTCTCTTCTATTTCTTTTTCTTCTTTATGATTTTTTTTCTTACAAAATAAATATTATCGGTTATTTTTAAGTAAGATAAAATTTCTATTCACATCCACAGTGATGAGAGACAGCGTGTTAGGTTGGATGGAGGGGGCCACGGCCTCCCAGAATTTTCAAAAAATCATACAGTCCCTTACTTTTAGGCATGTTTTCACCTTAGTCTCTTGAGAAATTATTGCTAGGCCTTCCAATTTTTTCAAAAATATTTCTTAACATTTCTAAAGCCTCATTACCCATCTCCAAAACAATCTAGTCCACCTTCCGTCATTGCGCGGCATCTTAGGTCTTCACATAGGCAAGTTAAGTGATATAAATGGTCGACAATTGCTCCCCTTAATCTTTCATATTTACCTTTTAGTCCTTCAATTTTCAATCTTTTCATATTGCTCAAAATAAAAACGTAATAACCGCCATTTTTTTTTCATTCTTACATATGAAAGAATTTGCCCTTCTTAACAAATATTTATAACTTTGCCACCCGATCTTTTTATTTTTCATTATCAATTTGTTTTTCTTTCAAATCAAGATTTTTAACAATTTATGTTGGATATTGTCCATACATTTGAACCGCTCTTTTCAATATTATCTCTGATGGGCATGCATCACAATAACGTTTTTATCAAACATATTCATCTATAATCATAACAAATCTTTTGTTATTATTACATCCACCATCACATGTATATTTCCGCCGCATTCATTTTACAGATATGTTGCTGTTTCGATGCATGGCTAGCCTTATCGTCATTTTGTGGAACTTGCCCTTCATTTTATTTGGATTTTATATTCTCATTGCACAACCTTCAGAGCTCCTTCGATTTACGTATTAGTTTTGAATTTAATTATCTAAATTAAATGAAATAGTTAAAATAATATAGATTAAATTGTTTTTATTTTTATCGTGGACTAAATTATAAAGATTCAATTTGAATATAAACATGATGGAACATGAGAAAGATTTCAAAACCATTATTTTTAAGAATATGATGGTTATATTCATCAAATTTATATTATTAAATTTAAAATCAATGGTAGTAAGATTAGAAATACGAAGATGAGAATATTCAAATCCGAAGCTTCTTATTTTTAATAAAATCGATAAGATTACGCATAGATGAATCCAAAACCGTTGGATTCACAGATCACTGTATGATATCATTAGCAGCACCTCATAAGTCGGTAATGCATCACAACTGTGCCACGATCGTAGTTTCATGACACGTGTTGGTGTCTCCAGCTTAACCTCATTAATGGAAAAGGTACTCGCCGCCTGCGAAACTCACAACCACCCCGACCCCTACCCCTACCCCAATCCCAATCCCAATCTAAGGTACTTAATTGCACCCCCAACAACCCTAATGGATCTCCATTAAATTCTAAACCCTTTTCATCCATTCAATGGACAAAGTTCCATCTGTAACGGTAATGGGCCTTCCCTAACTTCAACGGCCCAGATCTCATAAATCCTTTTACCACACCATTAATAAATGCCACTATTAGCAGTCAGTGTCCTCACACCTCTCTTGCCACTCTTTCGTGTTATTGTTATATACCAAAGCCTTCGTAGGTGCATTTTGATCATCATCTCATAGCCCAAAAGAATTTCTTTCGTCAAGATTGTCAAAGATGAGAAACCAGTCCCTTTTTTTCTTGGGTGTGCTGTTGTTCTTTGTTTCTAGTGCTTCGGTTTTTAGAGCTGTTAATGGGGATAGTGTGAATGAGGAGTGTAGCAGTGACTTCCAAAAAGTGATGGGTTGCCTGAGCTTTGCTACTGGGAAAGCGAAAGAACCCACAAAAGATTGCTGCAGTGCGGTGCAGAATATAAAAGAAAGCGATCCAAAGTGCTTGTGTTTTATCATGCAGCAAACACATAATGGTAGTGCACAGGTCAAGAGCTTGGGGATTCAGGAGGCTAAGTTGTTTCAGCTCCCAACTGCATGCCAGTTGAAGAATGCTAGTCTTAGCTTCTGCCCCAGTGAGTATCTCTCTCTCTCTCTCTCTCTCTACCATTTATTTTATGCTCTTTGCTATTATTATTGTTATTGGTTTTTAGATCTAATTTAGCTATAGTTTCCATAAGTTTCATTCCAATTCACTATATAATTTTGGACAAAGAAACTATTATAGATGTTAATCATTATTTGGTGTTGGATTTGTGGCTAGGGAAACATTCAAGTTTAGTCCCTAGTCTCCTGAGATGCAAGCAACAAAGGATTAACTTTCTTCAGGATTAGTCCGCAACAAAAATAAACAAACACAAAATATCATCAAAAATAAAACTAAACGAAAACTTAAAGAGCTTGAAAATGAGCTCTAGAAAACAAAAACAAAAAAAAAAAAACCGTTATGATGCTACGTGGCTCCAGCTATATGCTGTTTGATCCACTGAACTTTTATTATAGACGTGTGGCAGCTGAAGATCGGGGATTTAGGTGAATCACTAACCTGGCCTATTAAATGCTGGCTCCTTTTAGTAACGAGCAAGAAAAGTATAAAAGGGTTAAATTTTATATTATTCCAAGGGTAAGAGAAAAAAAAAAAGGAAAAGAAATAAGAGAGAAATAAGGGAGAAATAAGGGAGTATTTTTTATTATTTTTAGTGGCTCTGAAAGTGGATTTTGTTTGTTTTTTTTTTTTTAAATAAAAAGTAGAGTAATATGGTAACTATTGTAATATAATATAATATAATAGATATTGATGAAGTATTTTAACATTTCTTTTGTAAAAAGCAAATATTGACAGCTAATTTACTTCCACTCTACTTTCTTGTAGCAGTCAATGTTTGACCGTTATTCATCAACAATTAAAAATTTTGGCTTAGCTTTAACTATAATGTGATTTCTTTGTTATACTAATTAATTACAAGGTGAACGAGAGTAGTGGATTAACTCTCTATTTGTCAGAGAGACAAGCACTGCTTTGTAAGGTTCTTTTGTCGAAGAAAAAAGATCTGTCAGTTCCGTTTATATATCTTATGAGTAGCTTATAAACTTCAGCTCTCGGTTTTTGATCGACATAGGTAGCTGTTCTGTACACGATGCCATTAATTTTTTGGTCCCCTGACATGACATGCAAAAAGGAATCACTTATGAACAGCCTAAATTATACTGCTACATGTCCGATATAATCTGCTTAATACTTGGTGGACCACCAGAAGTTATGGTGATTTATGCTTCAACGATAAACAGAGGCACATTTGAATTTGGATGTCCTTTTGTACAAATGCATTCATTACACAATCCAACCACCAGTTTTATGTTTGAAATACCAGTCATATCCTTATTTATTTTTCTTATATATATATTGAATTTGCAAAAAAACAATGTCATAGGATGGGCATATCGGGCACTTACTCATCAATTATTAATGCTCTTTTCAACTTGAAAAAAATACTTCGAGAGAAACAAAACTCAAAAATGGACTACAGGGGAGTATGTTTACCCTTTTTAAGGTTTTTAAAAAGGATAGGGCGTATCAGATATCAATCTTAAAAGCAGATTTCTAACTAATTCGAGTTCTGGTTTTATTGGTCTCTCTCTTTGTTCTTTGTATATATTTTTTTCCAAAAATCGCAAGGCGCCCTCTAAATTGATACTTCTAACGTTATAGGAAGTGATATAACGAAACACAACTTTTGTGATGCACAAAACTTGGAAATTTCAACTTTTTTGATATAAAATGAAATGCATCTCTAAGCTATTTCCTATTCTGTAGCAGTGCTAGCGGTAGCTAGTGCACAAGTCTTGTGCAGTTGCTAACTTTATATTGTGCCTGTCAACGGACAGAGCTTCTAGGCATATCTCCTAACTCTCCAGACGCTGCCATTTTCACAAATGCTTCAACTTCAGCAACTCCTGGTGCATCATCAACAGGAACATCACAACCAGAGAAAGCTGGTGACTCTAGTGGTATCCTGCAAAGACCTCACCTTGCAGGTCTTTTGATGATTGTAGCTGCCATCTTCATATTTGCTTTTCCTGCTGGGTCTGCCTTCATGTTCCACGTTTAGGAGTGGACAACACCCAACGGAAACAATGATAACTGAAGGTTGGGTTCCTCTTTTAGCCTTTCTTTTGAATTTTCAGGGATTTCATGCTCTTCTTTTTGCAAGTTGTTGTAATCTTGTCTCCTGCACTTATTTTCTGCGAATGTTAGTTATCTAGGCTATCATGTACGAGCTTTCATGTTCTATTATCAGGTTGCTTACATTTGCTGCTGGCTACTTTGCTTTGCTTTAGAAATGTGTGCATGTATGTGCTGGCGTCTCTCACTTGTTTGACCGTAATTATGGCGTGTGCCAGCTAAATTCAGATGATTGTAGTTTGATTATCCAAAAATTAGAAGCTTTCCTCGTTAAATCACTCTTTCGCTCAAAAGATGGCCAACAGAATGGGAAATATGAAAGGAATCTCCAGGAGATCTTGTGTTGTAATGAAAAGAAATCTGGTCTTGCCATCTTCTACACCCCTCGTTTCTTTATGCCCCTTTCTTAATTAGGATATGGTAACCAGGACTACCTTGATTTTACAAGATAACTAGATATGATCATGTGAGCGTGTACGCCTATGAAATAAATATGTACCGCTACAATGCCAACGAAAATATAGCTCGCAAACAGAATTAGCAGAGCTCATAACAATCATATTGAATACAGCTGCTGCAACACGTCAACCTCATCAATCTTGTGAAACAAAATCCAAATCGTTTAAATATGAACAATAAATAAATAAAATAAAAGGAAAAGTTAAGGAGAGTGAAGGGGTATATTGTCAAGTTGAAAACTTCCCAGCTCAAAACACCTAAAATTCCATACCAGTCTGATTAATCGGATGCCACTGTTACTGTCAGCTTCGTTTTTCAGGTTCAGCTCCCATCATCTCTTGCAGCAGCTGTGAGCGAGAATGCGCTCTTTCATTCTCCTTCAGCAAAACAGCTTCAGCAAAGCTCTTTGACATTTTCTTTATCAAGTCATTAGAATACGGAATGGGCTTTTGTTCACCAACTCCAACCACTGGAGTAGAAGCCATGCTTATTTGTGGCCTCGATTTCCTCACCTGCATAACTTTCTGCCTTTCTTCATAAAAATGAAAATCATCTAGGATGGAAGAGTGGCTTTCATAGTTTTTAAATATGCCTAACATCTCAACACCCAGTTCCAGCTCCACCTGGTCAGTAGAAGATTAAAAGACTTCATGAGACATATATCATGGCAGCTAGCAATCAAGAATCTGCCCTGGTATATTGATGACAATTACAATAAAAAAAGAAAAAAAAAGGGAGAGAGAACCGTTAGATGATGCCAAACTCTCACTTAGAAAGAAGAACACAAGACCTTTCATATTGAACTTTTCTATTTTGCATTAATTGATCATTGCAACACAGTCCATATCAAGTTCAATAAACTGCAAACAATTTGACAGATGTCAGTCTTATCACCCAAGTTATTCTTGTACATTCTTCTTGTTCCAAGAATATAAATACAAAAAAAAATAAATAAAATAAAAACTGCGCGTGGTAGTCATCCATTCATTTACAAGTTACAACCCAAAAATTTGTTTTTCAAGGAAACAAAACAAAATAGAGTGGTGGTGATGGAAGTTGAACAATAGGCCTAAGTTTCACCTATCCCATAGTAGTTCATGCAAATAATGCACTTTATTGATTGCAAAAAGACATCCTTCCCCGGCATGGAGTAGTTTCAACATGAGCAATAACCATGCATATGAAGAACCCAAAATTATAATGGTTAAGACTAACAAAGTTGCCACAGTTCATCATTGTAAAATGAACACAACCTTGGAAGCTGTAAAACTCAATTCCATTCAGTATAGTGTATTATTCAAAAGAAAATTATCTACATTTAATAGCGTTGCCAGTCATTAGAGTTACTACATGCTATCATGCAAATAATTCCTATAGGAATGAAGCAGATAACAACAAAGTCCTAAGTCTGACTCAATACATCTAGGCAGCCAAGGCTGAATATAACCAGAGCAAACGATACCAAAACAGTTAAAAAGGGAGGGCTCCTGTAAAACTGAAGTTGCATACTCGCATGCAAATAATTATCAATGGTATGGAAAACCAAATAAACTCTCACCCCTTGAGTATCTCTACTGTTAGTAACTGGCTTGTTGTCATTGTTTTCCAGCACAATGTGACGAAACTGACTGTTGGGGACATCTTTAATAATATGCCACTTCACAGGGAACTGCCCAGACCACTTATCCTGTTGCCAGAAATCCACATTCTTGTCAAAGTCCACAGGTCCAACCATCTCAGCAACTCCACAGAACTGTGCACTGGCATTCACCTGTATATGATGGTACAATGTACAAACATACCATGTTTCAGTGAGTAACACAGTGGGTCATAAATCTCCACATTACACTTCTCACTAAACAAGTTTGATAGTGAATGAGCATAGTAGTTCTAGAAATAGATAGCCAGAGAACCAGTGACATCATGACGAATCAGAACACCTAATAAAGAAGATTCAGCAATGGCTAAGCAACCTCAGGGATCTTTTGCTTCTATAAAACAATAACCAACAAGAGGTGAATGCATTAAATATATATTAAGACCACTGCAAAGACTCAAGGATTTTCTTGCTTGTACCATAAATTAAGGCATTTTGTAGAATCTTAAGCACCACTAACCAACTTCAAGAGTGAAAACCAACAATCTGCCCTAGGATAGGCACACAAAACATTGATCATATTCACGTTCTCAGCTTTTAATGTTCCCTGCAGCTTAGTCAAATAATTCCAAGTTGGGTGAAATCATTTTTACTTCCATTTATAAAACATCTGGCACTCGCGATTAGGTTAATTACCGAAAATAACAGAAAGATGGGGCATGTCCCATGTTTTTCCTTTGCTTCACGATAAGCAGAATCTAATTTCTTGTTGCCATTCGGGGTGCTTGCCCAAACGCCATACTTTATACTCTTATGGACATTATCTTCACTGTATGATTTGATAACAAAGAACTTTGCGTCCTTATAATCAGTAACAAAATCCGGTTGGTTGTAAGACTCGCTATGAACATCAGCAACTGCCTTCTGGTGGTTATCAACTGCAGATGCATTTTCTGTTGACTGACTCCTAGGCTTGAATGCCCTAGGTCCCCTATTCCGTTCGCTTAGCGTATCAAGTGCAATAGTACAACTACACGAAAAGTCATTGCACCTTCCCCCTGTCTTCCTTCATGAAGTGTGGACCAGTTTCGACCATTTGTTCCAAAAATAGAAGAGGGCAAAACATCATATCCTAAGTCTTGATCATTCAGACCTTGAGGAACATATTTATAGCTGGAACTCTGAAGAGATCTAAGCCAATAAAACAATTCTTTTTGTTGAGAAACCTGCAAAAATATCTTTGTTAGACAATAATCTTAAAACCAGACAATAGTAGTTCAATCAGGCTCAAAGATGCACCCAAAACAAAACCTATTAATCTCTATACAGCAATACTTCTCAGAGTCAAGTAGATAAGAGAATCGCAAAACTAACGACATACCAGAATCACAAGACTCCAGAGTCAGGACGGTGCCTTAGAATTTAAACATCCTTACTACATAGTACATACGAGATGGATAAACAGCTGCATGTTCAAATACAGATATTATTTATCCAGTAAGATACCAAGACCCAAGGCAGTACACATGAGCATAAGGTATCAGATACAGGGCAACAAAATCAGCCAGAGTGCGGCTGGAAAAAAAAAAAAAACAGATCATTTGCATCTGGAAAACTCAAGTGGCCAGCAGCAAAAGTACAAATGCTGCTGCATGAGTGTGAGGTATCAGATACAGGCCAACAAAATCAGCCACAGTGCAGCTGGAAAAAAACAACCAGATAATTTGTATCTGGAAAACTCACGTGGCCAGCAGCAGAAGTACAAATGCTGCAGCATGAGTGCATGTCTCAAATGTAATTTACCATGGTAACTATAATCTATAGAAAAATTGCTAAGTTACATAACCAACATGGTTTAAGAAAACGAAAGAAGTCATTGGAATCCATAGTCTCAGTCTCTGGACACAGTTACAAAATGCTTTTGTGCAGTTCGCTGTTCAAACGTAAGCCAGAAATGCCTTACAACTAGCAATCTACGAAAAACTTGCTAAGCCATTGATGTAGGACAGGATGGAAATCAGAGAAAAAGTGATTGAAAAAAAAATAAAATAAAATACCAAGAATCCACAAGGCAAACCCTTGGATCTGGTGTCTCTTGAATCCACAAGAACAAAGAAAAACAAGAGATCCACTTCTCAACATAACAACCCAGTCTCAATTCTCGTGCATCGTAAAACAGGCTCCTTAATACAATATATAATCGTGCTTATATAGGCACACAAAAAGCAAGCCCTATAAGAGGTCCTAGCTAAACTTGGAAATCAAGTCGTACTCCAACTACTAATAACTGATTGACAAAATTTTTAACTATTTTCTTGAATGAAAAAAAGTATACCTCAATGATAAAAAAATTTCAAAATTATTTAAATTGGAATAATTCCTCATCCTGTAGGCCACAATGGTTGGAGAGAACTCAAACTCGACTTTAAAATTGTTGAAGCACATTCTCATGTTTGATTCATTAATCAAAAAATTTTAAGTCTTGAGCTAAACTTGATATACCATATTTTCTGCAATGTGTGAAATGTGGACGATAGCAGAATATTTTCTAAAATGTTACTGTCATTGTCTATAGAAAGGCTTTGTTGGAAAACTACGCAAACTTTGGCCTGATCCCAACTATAAGGTTTGAGAGTCCACTTTCTCTTCCAACTATCTAATCTCCTTCAATTCCCTTCACTCTACATCAATTGAAATCAAAGCTATAGAGTTTAGATCCACAAAAACAAAGAAAGGCAAAAGGAGATCCACTTCTCAAGGTATCAATTTTCATACTCACAAAAACAACTTTCCTGATATAATGTGTAAGTGTGCTTAAATAGTCACCCCATAAGCTTCAACTAAAATAAAGAAATAAACTCATTCTTCTAATTACTAATGATAAAATAGGCTTGAACTCCCAAACCACCAGTTCTAGCAAACCTCTCTTATCATTATATCAGACAATGACCCCTCAATAAAGTATCTGGAGGATGAGTGTGTACATACAACTGTCTTCTTTATTTAGTCATAATATGCATCGGCAGATTTCTTCAAAGCAAATCAAATTTTGGCTCTAAATAGGCATCAGAATAAATAAAAGTGCAGCAATAACATATTTGAAACATGTAACAGAAGTAACGACTCAGAGATCCGTAAGCATGATAAAGAACCACAATTTTTCAAACCACTATACAGAAAGGCACATTGAAGATTAAAAATCTGAAAACAAATCATAGACAATTCTCGAAAATGACTTTTTAAGGGAAAAAGCTGGTCATAAATTAGAAACTAACCATTCCACAATGGTTCACAGACAAACCTACTGAACTGATTTGCTTTGGAGAAGCAGCTTGTGAAGAAAAATGGGCCAATGAACTCTTCTCATCTAAGGATTTTGACCAATTTGCCCACAATTCACCATTTTCAATTCCTTCAAACCCTTGCTGCAATAATTTCAAACCACCAGAGTGTCGAGAAAAGCTGCTTCCATCACCGAAAGATCCCAACGGAGGCATGTAACTAGGCCTAGGCCCCAATATGTTGTCATCACCTGGCAGCTCAATGTTGACTGGCAATTTAGTTTGACAAAATAGGTTTTGTGAGGCAACATATGAAGTGTTTGGTGAAACAAGGGGCTGGTGATAACGAGGATCTGAGTTAGGCAGCCCTCGTGCATCATAAAACCGGCCATGACCACTAATAGAAGGCGGTGATGGCATGAATGGGGCATGTGATCTTTGTAGCATTTGAGAGTAGCCATGGAATAGATGAGATGAAGTATCACTGCAGATGCCCTACATCAAATTTAAAAGAAAACCAGTCCACCCCTTTAGAACTACAGAGAGATGGGAACAGAAGTGGAATTGGAGGAGCAAGGGCAAAGAAATATTGTTACATGAGAACCATTTTCCAAGCACTCAACATTGGTATCTGGAAAACATGTGCCTGATCTGCCAATCATATTGTCATAACCTGAGTGATACCACAAAGTGTGATGTAAGGAAAATAAGAAACATAGCTGTTTTGCTACATAAATATATGTGTGATTTTACTGCTCCGTGCTAAAAACACATTGCCCTGGTAAACATAATCCTCCACAACTGATCACTGAGGAGTGCACTGCTCATTCAAAATATGCACAATGGAAACACGAAACATTTACATTTAAAGGAGGAGATTTGTAATAACATTCTGCAGACAACATCATGCACATGCATAAAGACTTGGAAGTAAAGAAAAAACTAATATGTACTAAAAAAAATATGGCAACAGGCAATGCTAAGGAATTTAACAATTACCAAAATAAACCATTTTCTGAACTTCTCAACTGTTATGCCTAAAACAAGTAATTTTATTGACCTCCTACCATGTCAACATTTATTACATTTAAAGTTCAACTGATAAAACAAGATAATCATAGGATTCTACTACCAGCATCGTGCACATGAATGAAGACTTGGAAAAAAAAAAACTAGTGCACACTAGCAAAAAAACAAAAAACACAAAAAGCAACAGACAATGCTATTGAAACCACAAAGATACCACTACTTTGAAAACGTCTCAATTATCATATCTAAAGCAAACAATTAATATTGGCCTCGTATCTGGTTGACGTTAGTTACATTTAACTTTCAATTGATAAAAAGATATAAAAGTTTTTAATAAATCCAGAACCAGGAGAAAAAATGTCAATCCATCTGGAGAAATGCCCAACCACCATCATCTCAAACAATTTACATTCGGACCCACCATTCGATGAAAATGCACCTCTTAGTTTGCATATCTAACATCAAAACAATCATAGTATGATATATCTTGCTCTCTTATGTTTGCATAAGAATATAAATAACTAACCTCCGAGGTAGACTGACTGCATCCGGGAAGGAGACGCATTATTCGAAGTATCAACTCTCAGAGGACCAGCACTAATAGCAGCATTGCTAGGATCAACAGCATTTCCATCGATCGCAAGAGAAGGCTAACAATAAACTCCAAAACGTTAGTCATCAAACCCGAGTATTACATAAAGGCGAAGAAAGTAAATTATACTCAGAATACACTAGCAACTACCTGATCCTTCAACATGTTTGGATCGGCAGATTTCTCTTTTAAAACATTCAAAGCTTGAGAAGTGCCTAAAATTCAGAGCTTATCGTTAATCCCTGGCATAGACCGTTCACATGGGCATAAGCGGGAACATCAAAAAAGAGCCCTCCAAATTTCACATTCTAAGCGGCAAAATAAACATAAATTGCATATGTAGACGACCAAAGACATACAAAAGTTTGTTTTGAATTACAGATTACTCCAAATTCCATGATTAATAGTATGAGAAGTGAAAGAAAAAATGGTCACGATCATCATAAACTTTCATCAACAAAACTCGTTTGCTTTTTTTTTCTTTTTTCTTTTAATTTAAAAAAGGAAATTATTTCCTCTCGTCCGAGAAAAAAAAACGAAACGAAACGGAAGTGCGTTACATCTCTAATCGAACAACCCCGAAGAGAAACAGAAAACCAGTTAAGACCAAAACAACAATCGGTTATAATTAGCATACCAGTAGATGCTAACCGATCATCGGTTACGGCAGTGACTGCTTTACCGACTGAAAATTAAAATTTAGGCTTTGTGTGTATCTTTGAGTGTGTTTGGTGAAGTGTTGTTTGGTGTTTGGCAGTGAGTCAGTGAGCGAAGACTAGAGAGAAAGAGCGGTGGGTTTAGGGTAGAAACAGAGAGTCGATAGAAATTAGAAGGAAGATAGTGTGTTTTATTAGGTAATGGAGGTGAGGAGACGCGCCACGCCGCAGCCGATTCAGATTCAGATTGATGTTGAGAATGAGATATGGTGCGTGTATTGGAGTACGTAATCTAACTGCAACTTTCACAGTTTTCGCTGCCCAGTTGGCTCGTCCTTACTTGTCCACCTGCTCTTCATGCTTCATCGTCATGCCCCATTCTACGTTTATTTAGACTAGCTTATTTCCCTTTTTTTTCTTTTTCTTTTCTTTTTTTCAAAAAAAAAATTATGAAGAACTTTCGTTAGAATTGGGGAGCTTCATTCTTGCAATATTATTTTGGATTAATGTAGAGCCTTCGTATTTGTGATCACATTCGGTGATAATGGTTATTAAATTATTTGTGATCATAATTTAAAATGTTGAGTATTAAATCGATTGTCATTTAGAATTAATTTTTCGAACATTTTTGTATATTTGTATTTGGAAATACATGACTAGATGTTAAATATCTATTTTAGAATAAGATGAAATTAATTGGTTTTTCATGCTACACGACGAAATCAAATTAAATATGTTTAACTGAACTAAATATTTTTCTTTCAATTTAATAATTTATGTTATACTGCTAATCTATTAAAATATATTAAATTTAAAATAAAAAATAAAATTTCATAAATTTTAATCAAAAATTTGTATTTTATTTATTTTTCTTTATATTTTTTCATAAATTTTGTTGTTAAAAAAATAATTTGTTCTTTGTTATGCATTTTAAGTAAAAATCTGTAACAATATGAATAAAAAATTTAGTATAAAATTTTAAAAATATTTTTAATACTTTTTTCATAACATTACATCAAATAAATAAAACAACAATTAATATAAAACTTGTATAAAAATTAACTAACAAATTTTTTATATATATTTAATTACAAAACAATCAATAGTATTAATGTAAAAAGTTATGTTTGAATTATTATGTGGTTCTTCTAAAAATTATTTTAATTATTTTATTTGAAAAAAATTAATTTTAGAATATTAAAGCATATTAATGGTAAATAGTTGTTGTTATGTGTATAGATATTTGCTTATATATATATATATCATACACAATGGGTCAGAATTTGTAATATAAATTAAAAAAAAATAATAAGTTATAGGGAATATATTGAAGTTAATAGAATTTCGGTAAAATTTGATTTTATCAAGAACAAATAAATAAAACTCATGAATTTATTATAAAAAAAAATTCATAAAAAATAACTTGATGGTTGTTTTTGTTAGTGTAATCGGTCTTTCCTATACTATCAGTTGAACTATACAAAAATTTGAACAAATTATTCAACGCAAACAATTTTGAGCAAAATTAAAAATAAAAACTAATAATTTTATAGCCTTTTTATATAATGATGAAGAAAGTTTGTTAAAATGGGAGAGCTCAATTCTTGCAATATTATTTTGGATTGAAAGAAAGTTTTGCATTTGAAATCAAATGCTGTGATAGTGGATGTTAAATCGATTGTCATCAGTGATTAGCTTTTCAAAATACTTTTATATAATTATATTTAAAAATGTGTAATTAGATGTAAAAAAATCAATTTCATAATGCAATTAAAAATATGTAATTGATCTGATGCTAAATAAATTAAACTTCATTGATCGATGTACACCTTCCTGTGGAATATTATCCTTTAAAATGATCCATGAATGTGTCTTGTATTTATGGAGAAATATGATAGAAACAATACTGATATTAATTTATTTTGTCCTTTATGTTTTATTCATATCCATCGTTTTATTCTATATTTTTCCAATTATCATGTACTTTTCTATGTCCACTTAGCTTCTTCTTCTTTTTTTAAAGAATTAACGTTGTAAATTTTTCTTTTGTTCTCAATATTTAAGAGTCACTACTATGATTTATTTATTTTTATATATTTATAATCTCATCGTTACTATTACCATCGTCACCATCTTATTATCATCTCGTTATGATAGTCTTAAATGCAATCTTTATTAAAAATAAATAAATAAATAAATATAATATTCATCTGTATTATTTGAAATACTATTCATTTAAATTCATTCGCACTATTCACCCAAGCTCATATATACTATTCCTTTCACTATACAATAGTATTTTTGTAGTTTTCAAATATTTTTAAGATATTTATTATAAAGGTTTTCATGATATTAAACTTTGATTCTTCTTTTTTAAATACTATTTTTTTAATTCGTAAATATTTTTTTTTATTTTGGTCTATCTTTTTGTTTCATTTTAGTCACTTTGGTCCTTTTTTCCTCTATTTTTTTAATAAAAAACTCTAACCCAAAAAAAATGTTTAAAAAAAAATTACAAAATAAGTTTTTGACTAAAAATCATTGATTTTGACATTTTTTATACTATTATAAATTTTGTAGTTTGTGGATAGAGATAAATAAATAATATTTTTTTAATCAAAAACTTATGAAAAATATAAAGAATAATCAGTCAAATACAAAATTTTGATTAAAAAATTATAAAACTGAATGAATTTTAATTTAATTTTGATTTGATATATTTTGATATATACATAATATAACATGAAATATTAAATTAAAATAATTTTAAAAAATAATTTTATGTATTTTGTTCAATACGCGACGATAGCGTAGATAAAAAAAATAATGTAGAACTAACATGCATTTTTAGTTGCGATTTTTGCATTCACTCTTTGTTGTCTCATTGTTGTCTCGAACATCTCGATGACCACCACACTTTGTTACTTACATAACCATCATTATAATTACCACACTTCTAGCATTGTCTTTATGACCATCATTGACATTGGTGGAGTCTCTAGGAAGAAATGGAATCCTTTTAGATTATATGGAATATTTTTACCATATATAGTCAAATAGAGACATCAATGTAAAATGGGAAGGTAATTGAATTATGATTTAACTATCCCGACCTAAATAGTAAACAGACTTCTTCTTAAGAAATAAAACTTGTACAAAATAAAAAGCTCCTACAAGGAAAAAAAAATCAATTAAAAGACTAAAATGTATATGTATATATATATATATATATATATATATATATATATATATATATATATATATACATGTGTACTCTATCCCCTCACAAATATCATCTTCATCTACCATTATCACCATTTTCTTTTATCTTTAAATTATTTTTCTCATGGAGAAGTTATTTATTTTCGTAAAAAAATAATTTCTCACAATCCTTTTAGGGATTTATTAGTCGATCGCATGTGCTACTGCTGCGAGTCTCGCAAAACAAAATTATTTTAACTTCATCACAAAATTATTTCTCACCCTAATCACCTCATCACCTAATCGATGATGAGGTGATTAGGGTGAAGAAAGAAATAAAGGAGGAAAAAGACCAAATTTAAAAATAAATATTCATTTAAAGTATGGCATAATCATTAGGAACACGTAAAGGTAGGCACATGAGTCATTGGTCACCAAGAGCAGCATCAACATCCTCAACATTTGTATCATTACTTACACCACATAATGGACATGAAGTACGAATATCCTAATAAGTGTAACATGCATGATTTTACATTAAAACTTTTTATACATGAATGTCTTCAAAATTCTTTTCCTCATTTAGGTTCTGCTAGAATATACTAACACCGAGTTAGCGGGGTCTAGCCTCAATAAAAACATGCATAAAAACATCAACCTCAACCTTTAATAGTCAAATCTCAACGTTCAAACCTTAATGTTTATACTTCGATAGGCAACCTCAACCTTTAAACCTTAATATGCATAAAAAAAAAAAAAGCCGACCTCATTCATTTACTTAAAATATTTTATTTTAATCAACATCAAAAACATATGCATGCATACGAATGAACCTCAAGACCATCACATCAATCACATAAAAACACATAGCATTTATGTCCATGTTGTAGGTGAGTTACACTTACCGGATTCGCTTAAAACCACTATTTATCGTAATCTTTCTCTAAAAATTGATACCTTGACTTGATTTAATACCTTGAACATACACACCATGTAACATAAGAAATTCAATTTTATTACTTTATCTCTAATCATTTAATTTTTTTATTAATTTCTATTAATTTCTTGTAATTTTTTTAAATTAAAAATCCTAATTAAATCATCAACTCTACTATAATTTATTCAATTCTCCTATAATTATATTCATATAATCTAATGTTATTAAATTTTAACTTAAACCTTTTCAATCCTTATTCAAATGCACTTAATCATCAAATATTCGCTAAAAATTTAAGATTTTAATACTAAAATATAATTTTTACATAATCAATCCTAAATCATGAAATTTCTAACTCAATTCTATCTAAAATCATATAAAAATAAACAATTAAATTAAATATTTTTCTTACCTCGAATATTTAATTATCTTTCAAATACTTTTGACTTCACTTCTTACTCAATTATATTCTCTATTTATCTCTCTCTTCTTGAAGCATAAACTTATGAAATGACTTTCCTAAATGTGGAGAATGGCATCCTATATATAGGCATGAGAAGCTAAAACATTTAGGAATTTTAAGTGCATAAATTAAAAATAATAAAAAACCATTAACTCTTTTTTTTTTACCACTACGTGGCTTTCTTTCATGGCCACTATCCTTCTTCTTTTATGGTCACTTTCTTTTCTTTCATAGCCATTAATGTCTCTTCTTTAATTTAATATATGTTTTAAAAATTTTACTCTCATTTCATATCCACTGAATTTTCCTTTAAAAAGCTATTAAAACTTATTATTACTTCATTATTATTTTATTAATTATTATTATTATTATTATTATTATTATTATTATTATTTTAGCTA